AATGGGCCCTACACCAGACAGATGGTCACAAGCTCTCGCCCGCCTGTCTGTCCTTCTGAGGGCCCAGTTGCCTTCCTTAAAACCAGCTACTGTCCGCTGAGAGGCCCCCTCCGCCTCCCCACTAGGATGATGTGTAAGCCTGAATCTAAGCCACCCAGAGTCACATTTTCCTGGGCCTTTCCCTTGTGGTTGTGAGGTGTACATACATTTGTTTGTGTTTCTTTGATAATTTGTGTTTTACTACAGTGGTCTCAGCCAAGATCCCCGAAGGGTAGAGTGTAATTATTTCCCTCCCCCAACTACACACAGCTCGGGACAGAGCTGGCTTGGTCCTTAGAATTGGGACAAGCCCTAGGGCCACTTATCTTGCTTGGGAGGCTTCACCACTTTCCACTTTCCACCAAACCCTAAAAGCAACACTGTTCTTTCTAGATTTCTCCTTCATCCATCTGATGTACAGCTCTATAAGTCTGGCAGATGGCACCTGGCCGGAAGCTCCCCTTCCCACCAGGCCTGCCCAGCTGTGTGGAGCTTCCTGCCAGAGCCCAGGACATGCTGTGTGCTGAGCACGGGGTCCTTGGGAAGGATCCTGTCCCAGCCCCACCACAGCCCCCCTCTGTGGCCTGGGAGGTTGTCTGGCTCTCCCAGGGACTGTCATCTCCCTGGTAAAATCAGGGGTGGATTTCTAAGTCCTTGTCAAACTTTAAATTTTGATTCTCAGAAGAGTTTTGCTTTGTCTTGTTTGTTCTTTCAAAACAAGTTATCTGGATGTTTGACTACACCAGCATCTAAGTCAAAAGGAGCCCAGCAGGGGCAACAGGAATGACTGGTTCTTGGCATTGACAGCCCTCCACAAGCATCTAGCACAGGATCTGGTTTTGGGGTGCTGGTCCCACAGCATGCATGACAATGCCTGAGAGGCAGAGACAGGCTGTCTACCTTAAAATACTCTATTTCAAGACAAACATAGGATAATTTTACTTATAAAAATTCTAGTTATAATTCTACTTATAAAAATGTGTTGATTTGCCCACCTTCATCCCTACAGGCTCTATTGCATAATGTGAAATACATTACGAAGTATAGACAGTCTTGAAACAACATTTGATTCTTGAGAAGCTCTGCCTTTTTGTCCATCGTCCAACCACTCAGTGCTCCAGAATGTACATTTTGGGCCCTGACTCATCTGCTGCCCCACTGGCCACCTGTCCCCACTACCTCCTTGTGATTTCAACAGTTCATGGGTGTGACACATTTTTAAGCAATGAATAAACATGGTTTCCCAACTGTGTAGCTCATGCTCCTGAAAGTTTAGGAATATAATTCCATAATACTAAGCATCCCATTCACACCAGGAATCAGCAGGAACCTCCCCACAGATTCTTGCCTGATTAAAACCACCAGTTTCCTGGCAAAGAGTTGCATGCAGCACAATTTTAGAAATTTACCTGAAGTCCCCAAGGGAAAAATGTGGCTGTGTTTTGACCTAATGTGGCAGTAATTCCCAGCACACTAGTCATCTCTCCAACTTGATTCCCTGGCCTCCTGAAAAATCCTCTTTTGGCTGCACTGTGTAGCCATCTGGATGCAGGAAGCCAAGTTTAGAGCACATAAAGCCCCAAGTACAAAAGTGATCGGGATGAAACAGTAATTTTACCTTGAATATATAGGGAAATCACAAAAAGTAGGTATTTCTCTTTATGTAGAAGGTAGAAGAAGCTAAAGAAGTTACGTATTAACATCCGACGTGTTAACACAGGGGCACTCTAGTTGATGCAGTGTGAAAACAATGAGACAAAATGAAATCCCAAAGTAAAGACTCACCCTTGGAAATACATACCTGAATCTCTCTTAAATTTTTCTGAAGAAATTACGCATTGACCCAGGAATATCTGACTTTATTACAAAACTGGAAATCAGCATAAATGGCATCCTTTTTAAAATAACTAAGAACAATTTACTTTAGGTGATTTCAAAATTCTTGTTTCTCTTTATTTATCACAGAATGCTATCCCAAAGGCTAACTAGGATTAAATAAGAGTGTTTTCCCTCAAATTAGGAAGCACATGTTGTTCATTTCCAGTGAGCACCTAAAATCAAATGGTTTAACTGCAGAGCCTATTGCTTATTTTTTGTTTACTGCTCTGATCTACTGGCAGCAATCATGATTTAGGCATAGAAACATATTATAAAAAGGTAAATAACTGAAATAAATAACCATACAGCTCATTTCTTGGAATTAAAGTTGGACATGGGATCTCCTTGTACCTGATCCCATTTGCTTAAAAAGGGGGAGGTGAATATTTTGTAACTGGAACATATAAAGAATAACTTTATCTTTATGGCTTTGAATAAAACAGTGCTTCTTAGCAGAGTAAAGTCAATTTAATTTAAAGTTATGAAAAAATTTAATTCAAAGTTTAAAATTTTCCTTTCAAGAAGAAATCATTTACAGAATGAAGGAATAAACGAAATCTAATGAGGTTTCCAATGTATTGGATATGACTTAAACAAGGTATTTCGTTGTCTAGCTAAGTGTTTGTGGTGCAAATCAGGGTACAGACTCGAGGATACTTTAAATAAATAACTGGTTATCTACAACCTGAAGGCCTGCAAAATTAAATTTGGACTTTCCCATAAATAAGCAGCAGGCTTTCCCACAAGAATCTGAATGTAGGTCTGTTCTGTGGCCATAAATGCCATAGTCCTGGTGCACTGGATGAAGATTTCACCATCAAGCTTCTTGTCTTTCTCACTGACACCAGGCACCAACAAGCAACTGTGCTGATTCCCACTGTCAGACCAGCAGATAAGGCTTAGGCACAAGATGCTGGCCCTGGCTGCTGTGGATCAATCTCAGTAAGTTAATGAGAAATGTTCTCAGTTCCTATGGCTCCTTTCACAATTATGGCTCCTTTCACAGTTATTACTAATGTACAGCTTCTAAAACAGTATGTATATTTTTAGTCTCCAGTAACAACATAATTAAAGGTTTTCAACCCATAATTTTCTATCTTGATGCACACAGATATTGTACAATATGAATTACTCGGTGCACAAGTGTCCAGCAGAATAGCCAGCAAACAATCGATTAGGCTTCAGACCCTGTGGAAAAAATGAAAGTAAATAAAACCTACCCCATTCTTATTTAGTCCAGTAGTGTTTGAAAGCACTGTTATATGCAATACATCATCCCATTATCGTCAGGACTTGTCAAAAGTTTGGCCAAGGCCATGCAGCCAGTAAGCTGCAAAGCACTTTGGATGGGATGACTTCTCCTGAAACTGCTGCTGCTGAATGTATCCACTGTGATGGGTTATCAAAGAGATTATATTTTTTTAGGAGGCAAGGATGAGACCTGGCATTGGCTGGGGAAATTTCCCTGTGCAGCAATAACACAGGATGAAGAGGTTCCCTTTCCACCACACAAGCTGTCAACAGCAAGTCGGCCACTCCCAGCATTGCCACCTCTTTGATGCAACACACTTGAGTGAAAACAGCTTTACTGATGGATGCCATCAGTCAGCAAACTTTAGAAAACAAGGTCAAGTTCATCAATGAGACATGCATGCGCTTTAGGATGGAGGGATGCAGAAAGCTGGTGTTTTGCACCTAAGAGACTTGTGATTTGGCAGGACTTTAATTCCATAAAAGCCCACATTTCCTCCAAATGGGCGGGCCAGACCACCATGTTGATTGTTCATGCGTATGTGTAGTTTCTTCCCATAATGAAGGATGTCATGCCAGCAGCAGGGAGGAGAGAGTCCAAAGGGCTGGATTGGTCGCCCCAAGCCAACCACCATAAGTCTGGGATGCTCCCTTGCACAGCCTGGGACTGAAGGATGTCACAGGAGGGCTTCTCCCATGCCAGGTCCTAGAAGAAGAGGGCAGGTGTCCAGGAACTGTGGCTGTCCTCCAGTGGTAACCCTGTGGGTACACAAGTGGCTCTGCTTACACTGTTATCCACTAGCAGGCATGAGCATCTGGTCCAGAACTGGGAGGAGACTTGGGATCCGCATCCTGATTCCACATGGGCACCTTCCTGCCTAGAGATGGGCAAAAGCCACGTTCAGCCTCTGACAGATGGTGGTCCCTAGGGACTGAGCCGCTGCCAAGGCATCCCTCACATAAGGTATGAGATGCCCCCAAAGTCAAAAGTTTGGAGATGCAAAGAGCAGTACTGACAGAGAAGCTTCTGGAAACCAGCAGTGATATATAAACAATGGAAAGACAATCCTGAGGAAGGTTGTTTCCTCCTCTTCCTTTAAAGCTCCTCCAGTCCTTAGGGTGGCCCTACTCACTGCCACCATTGTTTACCTGGTGATGACAGCATAGCCACTTTTCTTTGTAATCTGCAGACCTGACTGTGGAGGGCATGGCTGCAGGGGATGTGAGCCCTCTATATGAATGCAGACCAAACGGGGTCCTTCCAGCCCCAGCAGCTGCCCTGAGCTCTGCATGGTATTGACCTCTACCCTGTTTCAGTAATGATACATGGGGGCTAGAGGGGGTGAGGGAGGGGAGCCTTCATCATCCAGGTATAGCAGCATCAATAAGAAGTAATGGGACCGGACACTCAGCCACCCCGTTTTCCCTAGAAGCCCTTATTTGGCACCCATGAGCCCAAAGCAGCTCCAGGGGACATGGCTATGTAGACCTCCCTTCGGGAACTCGGTATCTTATAATTCCTGATGCTATTAGTTAAAAAGAAATTACAGGTACAAAGATAAAAAGCATGTTCAATTTTTATTTTCTCCTCAAAAGTATCTCATAACTCAACTCAAATTTACTTACTCTTTGGGTATCTTTGCAATGTATAAATAGATGATGATAATATATATAGTATATAAGCATTTAATAATTATAATTACAATTAATTATAAATATGTCTGATATATTAATATAGTTGATTACAGATATAATTATGTAATATATGCATTACATTATATAATAGTTATATTATATATTATTGCATATTATTATATAGTGTATATGTTATGCTATATGATTTATGTATTATATATATATATTTTTTTTTAGGAGCCATGCTAATCTTCTCTATATCATTCCAATTTTAGTATATGTACTGCTAAAGCAAGCACTATGTATTATATATATATATACATTATTTTTAATTTTTATTACGGTATGATTGATATACACTCTTATGAAGGTTTCACATGAAAAAACAATGTGGTTACTACATTTACCCATATTATCAAGTCCCCACTGGTACCCCAATGCAGTCATTGTCCATCAGTGCAGCAAGATGCCACAGATCCACTATGTGCCTTCTCTGTGCTACACTGTTCTCCACATGTTCCCCCACACCATGTGTACTAAACATAACACTCCTCAGTCCCCTTCTCCCTCCCTCCCAACCCACGCTCCTACACCCCTCCCCTTTGGTAACCACTAGTTCATTCTTAGAGTGTCTGAGTCTGCTGCTATTTTGTTCCTTCAGTTTTGCTTCATTGTTATACTCCACAAATGAGGGAAATCATTTGGCATTTGTCTTTCTCCACCTGGCTTATTTCACTGAGCATAATGTCCTCCAGCTCCATCCATGTTGTTGCAAATGGTAGGATTTGTTTCTTTCTTATGGATGAATAGTATTCCATTGTGTATATGTACCACATCTTCTTTAGCCATTCATCTACTGATGGACACTTAGGTTGCTTCCATATCTTGGTTATTGTAAAAAGTGCTTCAATAAACACAGGGGTGCATATGTCTTTTTGAATCTGAGAAGATGTATTCTTCGGGTAAGTTCCAAGGAGTGGGATTCTGGGGTCAAATGGTATTTCTATTTTTAGATTTTTGAGGAGCCTCCATATTGCTTTCCACAATGGTTGAACTAGCTTACATTCCCACCAGCAGTGTAGGAGGGTTCCCCTTTCTCCACATCCTTGCCAGCATTTTTGTTCTTAGTCTTTTTGATGCTGGCCATCCTTACTGATGTGAGGTGAGATCTCACTGTGGTTTTAATTTGCATTTCCCTAATGATTACTGATGTGGAGCATCTTTTCATGTGTATGTTGGCCATCTGAATTTTTTCTTTGGAGAACTGTCTCTTCATGTCCTCTGCCCATTTGTTAATTGGGTTATTTGCTTTTTGGGTGTTGAGGCTTGTGAGTTCTTTATTTTGGATGTTAAATCCTTGTCGGGTATGTCATTTACAAATATATTCTCCCATACTGTAGGATGCATTTTTGTTTTGTTGATGATGTCCTTTGCCGTACAAAACTTTTTAGTTTAATGTAGTTTCATGAGCTCATTTTTGCTTCTGTTTCCCTTTCTCGAGGAGATGGATTCAGGAAGAAGTTGCTCATGCTTATATTCAGGAGATGTTTGCCTATGTTGTCTTCTAAGAATTTTATGGTTTCATGACTTACATTCAAATCTTTAATCCATTTTGAGTTTACTTTTGTGTATGGGGTTAGACAATAATCCAGTTTCATTCTCTTGCATGTAGCTGTCCAGTTTTGCCAACACCAGCTGTTGAAGAGGCTGTCATTTCCCCATTGTATGTCCATGACTCCTTTATCATATATTAATTGACCATATATAGTTGGGTTTATATCAGGGCTCTCTAGTCTGTTCCATTGGTCTATGGGTCTGTTCTTGTGCCAGTACCAAATTGTCTTGATTACTATGGCTTTGTAGTAGAGCTTGAAGTTGAGGAGAGTAATTCCCCCTGCTTTATTCT